ACTCTTCCACCAATCCTGACACCACATTCCTCCTTGTATAGCCCAGCATCTCAGATGATCTGTTTTGCATACAGATGCTGTATACCTTGTCCAAAATACCATTACTGCAAACTGGTGTGCACTCTTGGATGAGATTTGTTGTTTTAAAATTGCTGAAATCATGACGGAGACTGATTTGCTATTTACTGTACTGTTGTTGTTGTTGTTGGTGCTGTCAAGGTGACTACAATTCCTAGCGACCATATGAACAATTGAATTCAAAACTAGCTAGGCAAAGTTTTAAGCTTCTTTTACCCACTTGGTGCCCTAGTGGGTAAGGAATTCGGCTGCCAACCCAAAGGCAGGAAGTTCGAGTTCACTAGCTGCTCTGCAGGAGAAAGATGGGCAATCTCCTCCCATGTGATTTACAGCCTTTGAAAACCAGCTGGAGGGTCAGCTATGAATTGGTCCTGACTCAATGGCACATAGCTCCACTAGGAGCTTACATTTCAACCTAAAAAGCTGTAGAGTTTGTATGCCTTATAATCAACAGTAATGGTTGTTTATCCTTGTGGTTGTACAATGTTGTTTGAACATCCCTCCCCCTTTTGATACTTCCCAAACATGTTTTTCCTAATTTTCCAATTACCCTTGCTTAGATGAATTGTTATGTTCTCAAGTTGCCTGTGACTCACAGTGGCCCTGTGCACAATAGCTCTGAACTCTGTCCTATCTTGAGCCATTCTCACTGTCTCCAGCACACTTGCTCCTATTACCCCAGACACTGTGTCAGTCCATCTCATCCAGGATCTTCCTCTCCTGCATTGTCCCTCCACCCTTTCAAGCATGATGTTCTTCTCCAAGGACTGGGTCCTCCTGGCAACATACCCAAAGTATGTGAGATGGAGCTTCATGGTCCTTGCCTCCAAGGAGCAACTTGGTTTCATCCTCTGCAGGACAGACCTATTTGTGTTCTTGGCAGTCCATGGCAGTTCAATATTCTTCAACACCACAACTCATAGGCATCAATTCTTCTTCTATCATCTTTACTAATCATCCGGCTCTCTGATGCCTACCAAGTAATTGTGAGACCATGGCCTGGATGAAGTGTACCTTGGTCTCTAGACTGACATCTTTGTTCTTCCGCATGCTGTAGAGGTCCCCAACAGCAGACTTTACTAATTCATCTTTTGATCTCCTGGTTGCTGGTTCCAACAGTATTGATAGTGGCCACAAACAAGCAGAAATTGTTGACAATCTCATCTCTTCAGCTATCATGGTGCTGGCAATTGGCCAAGTGGTGAGAATCTTTGTTTTCCTGATGTTGAGCTTCAATCCATATTGAAGACTGCAGTCTTTGACTTTCTGCAGCAGATGCTTCAAGTCCTCCTCAGTTTCAGCAAGCACGGTTGTGTCATCTGTATAATGCAAGTTGTAGATGAGTCTTCCTCCAATTCTGATGCCACATTTCACCTCCTAAAGGCTAGCCTCCTGAATTATCTGTTCCACATATAGATTGAAAAGGTATGGAGAGAGGACACATGCCCGATGCACTCCTTCCCTGATATTGAACCATTAATTGTTTCCTTGCTCTGTTCTGATGAATGCCTCTTGATCCAAGTATAGGTTTCACATGAGCACAATCAGGTGTTCCTCCTGGATCCCCATTCTTTTCAAGATTAGTGATCCACACAAGTGCCTTTGCATAGTCAATCAAACACAGAGCCATTCCTCAGGTCCTTTCTGCTTTTAGCCAAAATCCATCTGACACTGGCAATGATGTCCCTAGTGTCATGGCCTCTTCTAAACCCAGCTTATATTTCTGGTAATTCTGTCAATGCACTATTCCAGTCCCTTTTTTATAATCTTTCTCAGGATTTTTCTTGCATATGATATTAGTAATATCATTTGATAATTTCCACACTCTGTTGGGTCACCTTTTCTTGGAATGGGAATAAATATGGATTTCTTTCAATCAGTTGACCGGGGGGTTGTCTTCCAGATTTCTTGGCCCAGGGCTACATCTGTTTGTTGAAATGTCAAGTGGTATTCCCTCAATTCCTGGGGCCTTGTTTTTTGCCAATTCCTTCGAAGCACTTGACCTTCCTCCTTCATCACCATTGCCTTTTGAACATAAGTCGTTTCATGAAATTCTTCTGTGTCAGCCAGTTCTTTTTGGTACAATGACTCTGTGTATTACTTCCATCTTCTTTTGATGCTTCCTGGATCATTCAATATTCTGCCCATAACATGCTTAAATATTGCAACTTGAGGCTTGAAGCTATTCTTCAGTTCCCTCAGCTTAATAAATGCTGAGTGATGGTACAATCACTATGGAAGGTGGTGTGGCACTTTCTCAGGAAGTTGGAAATAGAAATACCATTTGACCCAGCAATTCCACTGCTAGGAATATACTCTGAAGAAACCAGAGCCACAATTCAAACAGATGTATGCACATCCATGTTTATTGCTGCATTATTCACAATAGCAAAGAGATGGAAGTAACCCAAGTGCCCATCAATAAATGAGTGGATAGGAGAACTATGGTACATCCACAAAATGGAATACTATGCAGCACTGAAAAAAACAATGAAATAGTAAATCATTACACACCATGGGGGAGCCTTGAAGATATTATGTTAAGTGAAATATCTCAGTCACAAAGGCATAAATACTCCATAGCACCACTGTTCCTAAACAGGGCAGCCATCGGGGGTTGGAGAGGAAACTGGAAAAAGGTGGATAGATAACACTAAATTGAAACAGATAAGCAGAAGAACTTTTGAAAGGAATGTATGATTATACATTATATGTTTGAGAACAGTTTGGAACAAGGGGGGCATTGTGGGAGGTACGGGAGGTGGAAAGAAGAGGGGAAACATGCAACAATGAATGTTATTGTGTTGTGTATCTTAGAGTTGCGACCAACACATACCTGACCCTCCAGCAGGTTTTCAGAGGGAGTTAATCACATGGGAGGAGATTGCCCATCCTTCTCCCGCACAATAATGTATAAATTTTAAAAAAATCTAAAAAAATGGAA